TTCCACTTGTTCAGCGCAGGCCTCCTGCTGTTGGCCAAAGGCGGGGAGGGAAATTCCTTCTTTGTCCCTATGGCCTGCGAGAGACTCCCTGCTCTGTTCTCAGCAGGGAGCAGGCTCCCTCCCCCAGCCAGGCAGCTCAGTGCCCCTGTTCTCTGCCCCTGCCTGGCGGGGCTCCTTAAGCAGCTGCGGGGCTGTGCTGCCCCCAGCATAGAGGGAGTTGAGCATGGGCAATGGAACAGACAGCTGGGGAGGCTCTGGGATTCATGAGCTTTGGCTCAGCGTGCTGCAGTGGTCAGACAAAGCCTGGGAGGATCATCAGCTGCTGTGACAAAGCCAGAGCAGCCTAGCAGAGTCTCTGTGATCTGGCCCCTAGACTCAGAGGGCAACATAGCCACTGGTAGTGCAGTCCAAGCAGCATTACTCTGGCATAGCTCTTCTGAAAGGCTACATGGTAAAGCAGAAAAGTAGCCTCAGACCAAATGCTGCCTCTCCCTTTGCTCATTTCATCTCCCGCCTATTGCATCCATGTGTGTTGTGGTTCCTAGAATTGGCAAATAGTAGAACTGAGGGGAACGAGAGGTTATTGCATCCAGGTATGTAATTGTGAATTTTGAAGCCTGCGAAGGAATTAGCCTCAGTGGCTTCTTGTGGTAGTGAGTTTCACAGGCTAATCACACAGGAAGTACTTCCTCTTCTTAGGGAGGAGCTGGGTTTCATACGCTCTGTTGCTGTGTGGTGGAAGAGGGAATGGGAGCACTCTGGAGAACAAGCCAGTCCTGTGTCCAGGCCCTTACTGAATACGCCTAAGAACATAAGAACGGGCATACTGGGTCAGACCAAAGGTCTGTCTAACCCAGTAGCCTGTCTGCCGACAGGGGCCAGCACCAGGTGCCCCAGAGACAATGATCAAGCGAGTTGTCTCGTGCCACCCATCTCCAGCCTCTGACAGACAGAGGCCAGGGACACCATTTCTAGCCTCCGTGAAATTATCTAACGTCTCTTTAAACTCTGTTATAGTCCTTCTCTGGCAAGGAGTTCCACAGGTTGACTATGTGCTGTGTGAAGAACTTTCTTTTATGTTTTAAACCTGCTACCCATTAATTTCATTTGGTGTCCTCTAGTTCTTCTATTATGGAAACTAATAAATAACTTTTCTTTATTCACCCTTTCCACACCACCCATGATTTTATAGACCTCTATCATATTCCCCCTCAGTCTCCTCTTTTCTAAACTGAAGAGTCCCAGTTGCTTTAACCTCTCTTCATATGGGACCCATTTCAAACCCCTAATCATTTTAGTTGCCCTTTTCTAAACCCTGAGGGTGACACCCAGCAACACACTGACCTCTGGCCTCCCCTGCAGACAGGGGCAGGAATACAAGACACTTAGGAGACACCAGCTCACCTCCACCCTGGGAGAACATTGGGAAATCAAGTGCTGGCGGGGGTGCCGTGGTCCCAGGCACACCACTGGGCCCTGGGAACTGCCTTCAACTGCTGCTGTGTTGCAGGGGCAGGGGTTAAAGGCTCTGAACCTTTGCAACCAGAATTCAAACTCTCCTTTCCACTGTAGGAAAGTCCGTCTCACTGCAGCAAGCCGGGGCCAAAGTCACCAAAGAGAAACAAGTCAGAGGGAGGAAGGCATCTTTGTTCCCAGAGGACTGAATGGAGACCTGGTGGTGCTGAAAATGACAGGTAAGAGTCCAGCCACAGGGGTAGGAGATGGAGCAGATGGACTGGCAAGGCTGAGCCCGTGCTCAACATGCAGAGAGAATACACCGGTAACTTCACTGCCTAGCTGAGAGATGCACACAATAAACCCCTCCCATCCCCCGCAGAGCTCCCGTAGCCTGTTACCTCTTGGACCCCCCAAGGCCCGCACTTGGGGAGGTGCCTGGATAAGGCAGGGCACATTAGCAGATTAAGATTAAATCTCAGGAAAAATTCCCTCACTTGGACAGTAGGACAATGGAACAGACACCTGGGAAGGCTCTTTCCTTGGAGGTTTTCAAAAGTAGGCACCTGCCTTGGATGGTTTAGACTAGAGGCTCAGAACCTTCCCAGCCTACTGAATGCCTCTCAGGAGTCTGTTAAATGTGGTGTATGAAGACAGATCCAATACAGACGTGGCACAGCACCTTAGTACTGAAAAATTGCTTACATCTGTATGAAATGTGTTTGTACTGACTTAGCTAATGCTCATGTAGACTGTTGCAAAACTAGGCAAATATCTAGATGAGTTGATGTTCCCCTGAAAGACGTCTGTTTGCCCTCAGGGGTCTGTTTACCCCTCATTGAGAACTACTGGTTTAGACCCAATAGATTCTGCATCTTGGCCAGGGACTGAGCTAAATGATCTTTGCTGTCCCTCCTAACCCCCCACTGCTATGAGAAGTGGCAGATCACCAATAGGAATGTCACACTTCAATTATTTGAAGTGTCTATGCAGTTTCCATTGGCTATTCATTTAGTCGATAAGGGTGCTTCTGCCTTTGAAGTGTAGCAAAAACCACAGGGCTGTTGCTACACTTTGAAGGTGAAAGTGCTGCAGGGAGCACGGGGAATCCCCAGCTGACCCTGGGCTCCATGCAGCGCTGGCGCTTTGAAACGCCATGGCAAGCCCAGCATCAGGCTCCACGCAGTGTTTCAAAGCAGCAGCACTGCATGTAGGGCCAGCCCAAACCATTTTGGCGCCCTGGGCGCACAGCACTGTCCCCGGGCGCATGGTGCATGCACGGGCCTGCCCCTGGGGAGCCCCTAAGGAGCACAGGCCCACCCGGGTGCGCACAGCACATGCGCTGCCTGGCCCAGCCGCTGACACGCAGCCCGGGGCCCACCCCGGGGAACATGCAGCACCTGGCCATGCAGGGCCATGTGGCCGTGGAGGGAAGGGTGCTTCTGGCTGGCACTGTGAGGATGGGGGCTGGGGGAGGCCTGACAGTGCTGCAGGAGCCAGGCACACAGCACTTGATGGCAGCTATAAGGGACGCTGTGCGCTCCTTTCAGCTGCCATCAGGCACCCCCCATCAGTTGGCGCCCTGAGAAGCTGCCGGGCTTGTCCACCCCTTAGTCCAGCCCTGGCTGCATGGAGCCCTGAGTCAGTAGGAAGTCCCCAGCTGCTCCTGGGCTCCACATGGCACTGCTTCTTTGAAACATTGCATGCAGCCTCGGGCCAGGTGCTGCACACAGCATTTCAAAGCAGCAGCGCTGCGTGGAGTCTGGGGTCAACTGGGGAGTCCCAGCTGGCCCGGGCTGCATGCAGCATTTCAAAGCTGCAGCGCCACGCAGAGCCCAGGGTCTGGCCCCAGGCTTCATGCAGCACAGCTGCCTGTCTGCAAGAGCACAGGCAGAATGTGTCTGATGTGTGTGTATGCAACACCAAGAACACTTCAGCCATTCAGGGCAGTGTTTGAGCCAGATAGTTTGGCTCTTATACCTTGCCATCTGCTCCGTCCTGTTTATAGAAGGGAGGTCTTGGAAGGAGAGCCTGGCTTTCTAGTCAACTGTTCCCACCATTCCGCTACCATTCTGTAACTGCCCAGCTGGAGCCAGGCAGCCCGTGGGCACCAGGACCACGGTACTAAAAATAGCACCATAAGTGGCCTCTGCTCCAGTCCCAGCACACGATCTTGCCCCGGGGAACAGCTGGGGCCCTAGTTACTGGGGCTTCTGGGGCCAGACCACAATAATAAAAATAGCACTGTGGTCTTAGCTCCAGGCCCACAAACTGCTTTGCACATCAAAGGCAGAAAGATAGGGAAGGGGCAGGAGGAGAACTAAGGGGGAGAGGGGTGAGTAGAGGAAGGATTTTGTGCAGAGGGGAGCGGAGGGGGCCAGGGCAGGAGAAGAAAGGGGCAAGGCACCAAGGGACAGAGTAGAGAAGAGACAAATGCTTGGAGGCCAAGAGGAGACAATAAGGAAAAGGGCAGGGGGAGGAGAGGGAAGGTGTCAGTGGGGGTGGGAGAAGGAAGGGGCAGGGTGATGCTGGGAGAGGGAAGGGGGGGGCAGTGGGGACGAGAGGAAGAGGAGAGGGGAGCAGTGGGTGCCAGGAGAAGAAGAGTTGTAAGGAGGGGTGGGCATGAGGAAGGCAGGGGATGGAGCAAGTCATGAGTGAGGGCACAGAAGGGTGTAAGGGGAACTGGGGCAGAGGGTGGCAAGGGGGTGGGCACCAGGGGCAGTGAGGGAAGGGGGAGGCCCCAGGAATGTGCAGGGGTAAGGGAAGGTGCAGGTGCCACAGGATTGTGGGGGCGAAGCAGAAGGGCAGACACTAGAAGGGAGGAACAGGCACTAGAGGGCTGAGGAGGGAGGCGGGGCAGATGGGTAGAGGGAGGTGTTAGGAGAGGGGATGAGGAGAGTTAGCTACAGATGATCAGAGTGGGGCTAGAGGAGGGGTGGGCACAGGGGGAAGAGAAGGGCAGATGCACGGGTCAAGGGGGATGGGGAGAGGGGCAGGTTCCCAAAGGGCTGGGGGGGGT